AATCATTTCCCGAAGAAAAATTTATATACCCCCTCGTCACTTTTTTTTTTACCCCTAGAGGATATGTTATTTTCCTTATTCTGAGTACAAAGAAGAAAAATTTATACATAAAAACTTAAAAACAAAATACTATTGCTAGAATTTTTCAGGATCATCAATATAATCATGGTAGTTTTGATCCATTTTGGGATTATGTCCCTCCTTTTGATGCTGTTGATGATTATTCGGAGGACTACATTATTTTTTCTGCGGAGAGCTCTCCTGTTGATGATGCTGATGATGATTCTAGATATGTGGGTGAGAGCTCTCATCGCCGTCCAGCAATTCGCAAGCCGACACATAGCACTGTGATTAACTGTTTGTTGAAGTTGGTGTTTGATCGATAGGTATTTAAATATTGGACAAACTGAAATTTCATCATTAACAATGTTGTTATAAGTTTAACTAAGTTATCATGTGTTATTGTGAGTTGCTTTATATATAAAGCATATAAATTGAATTATTTTATGTATGCCTTATTTTTAGGGATTTAATTGATGTGGTTCGTATTAAAATTGGCAAAGAAGAACAAAAAAAAAAAGAAGCGATTATTTTATGGCTTGGATTGGACCTTTTTTTTATCAATTAATTAATTATATATGGTTCAAACCTTTCCATAAATGCACGATATACAATTGCTTTGATTACAAACTTAAAAAAGTATTTGGTAAATCATTTCCCGAATAAGGATGTGATTTTGAATATTATATACCCCTTCGTTTGTATGGTTGTTTTTTTTTAAAGGTCCCCAGATTAATGTACTCATAGTAATTTATGGAGTGGAATGTCCCTAGGAACTCATATTATATACCCCTTCGTTTAAAGGTCCCTAGGTAAATCATTTTCCGAAGAAAAATTTATATACCCCCTCGTCACTTTTTTTTACCCCTAAAGGATATGTTATTTTCCTTATTCTGAGTACAAAGAAGAAAAATTTATACATAAAAACTTAAAAACAAAATACTATTGCTAGAATTTTCCAGGATCATCAATATAATCATGGTAGTTTTGATCCATTTTGGGATTATGTCCCTCCTTTTGATGCTGCTGATGATTATTCGGAGGACTACATTGTTTTTTCTGCGGAGAGCTCTCCTGTTGATGTTGCTGATGATGATTCTGGATATGTGGGTGAGAGATCTCATCGCCGTCCAGCAATTCGCAAGCGGGCACATAGCACTGTGATTAACCGTTTGTTGAAGTTGGTGCTTTATCGATAGGTATTTAAATATTGGACAAACTGAAATTTCATCATTAACAATGTTGTTATAAGTTTAACTAAGTTATACTTGCAAGATGATGCAAAGCTAATATGGAGAGTTGCTGAAGCCAAAGCTGAAAATGCTCGGAGAAGGGTTGAGGAAGCTGAAGCTAGTTGCAACAGATGATGAGAATGCCTCTAAAACCAACAACAGATGATGAGAATGCCTTAACCATTAAGGTGCACATGCTAGATGGTAGCTTACACCGGTGTCAAGGAAACTGTATTTAACCCAATTATGGTCATGAATTTTTTCATTTATCTTTTGTTCTTATAATTTTTCATTTTTATGGTCGTCACTTTTTTCCTTTATCTTTTGTTTTTATAATTTTTCATTCTTATGGTCATGACTTTTTTCCTTTATCTTTTGTTTTTATAATTTTTCATTCTTATGGTCATGACTTTTGTCCTTTATCTTTTGTTCTTATGTGTTTATTGTTTTAAATGTACATATTCATTATGTATTGTTCTTCATTGCAGGAAATAAAGAGGCAATTATCAATAAAAGAAATAACTCTTCCTCCAGAACCTGCAACAGATGATGAGAATGCCTTAACAATTAAGGTGCATATGCCAAATGGTAGCTTACACCGGTGCCAATTTCTTAGGACACACACGTTGCAGGTAAAATTGTTGTGAAGGAAACTGTATTTAACCCCATTATGGTAATGGCTTTTTCCTTTATCTTTTGTTCTTATAATTTTTCATTCTTATGGTCGTGACTTTTATCATTTATCTTTTGTTCTTATAATTTTTCATTCTTATGATCATGACTTTTATCTTTTATCTTTTGTTCCTATGTGTTCATTGTTTTAAATGTACATCTTCATTTTGTATTGCTCTTTATTGCAGGAAATAGAGAGGCAATGAGCAATAAAAGAAACAACTCTTCCTCCTGAACCTGCAACATATGATGAGAATGCCCTAATCATTAAGGTGCACTTGCCAGATGACAGTTTACACTGGTGCGAATTTCTTAGGACACACACGTTGCAGGTAAAATGGTTGTGAAGGAAACTGTATTTAACCCTATTATCTATTCGCACTCTTAGATAAACTCGATTGTTATTCACATTGCAGTCCCTTTTTAACTTCATTGATATTTGGTGAAGGGTCAAACCCGGCTCTTACATGGTAATGAGTAAAATTTGCAACCTATGTTATCCGTCTGTGCAAATTGTTATGTTGTTAATCTATGTTATGTTGCTATAAAATAGGCAAGACTATTAAAATTCAACCTCATTAATTACTATAGCTACTCACTCTTTTAGTTGTCATTTTTACCCCTCATCATGTATTGTTTTCCTTTCTTTTTACCATCAACATGTGATTGTGTCATCATTTTTTTTTACTTCTTAAGAATATGTTTTTTTTCCTCATTCTTCGATTTTTTTTTACTTCTTAAGAATATGTTTTTTTCATCATTTTTACCCCACGCATCTGCCGACTGCCAGCTAGCCATGTCCGGAGCTGCAGCAAAAACTCTAAAGTGTGGCGTCGATTATCAGCGTGAGGGATGATGTTACCGTGATCCTGTCCTGTATAATCCTTCACCAACAGCAAGGCTTCAGCGACATCCCTAAAAAAAGCGCACAAACAAAATAAGAACATTAAAATAAAACTATTTAGAAAAACTATTTAGTTACACTCGCCTATAGATAACTCTAAGCTGAGGAATAATGAATCCATTGGAATCCACCAAGCGCTTACGACCTTTCCACCACTGTTCTAATGAACAGTGAACGCTGCGAGTGAACACCAATATGTGTCCACTGTCAACTCGATGTGCAAGCTTTGGTTCAAGCACATATTTTGAACCGCACGTTGCTGATAATCGACGCCACGCATCTGCCGACTGCTAACTAGCCATGTCCGGAGCTGCAGCAAAAACTCTAAAGTGTGGGCAAATACTGAAAATATTTCCCAGTCGTCTAGTACACAACCAAAACATTTTTATATCAAACCAATCTCAACCCTGTAAATGAAATTTTTTTCATTCTTATGGTCATGACTTTTTTCCTTTATCTTTTGTTTTTATAATTTTTCATTCTTATGGTCATGACTTTTGTCATTTATCTTTTGTTCTTATGTGTTTATTGTTTTAAATGTACATATTCATTATGTATTGTTCTTCATTGCAGGAAATAAAGAGGCAATTATCAATAAAAGAAATAACTCTTCCTCCAGAACCTGCAACAGATGATGAGAATGCCTTAACAATTAAGGTGCATATGCCAAATGGTAGCTTACACCGGTGCCAATTTCTTAGGACACACACGTTGCAGGTAAAATTGTTGTGAAGGAAACTGTATTTAACCCCATTATGGTAATGGCTTTTTCCTTTATCTTTTGTTCTTATAATTTTTCATTCTTATGGTCGTGACTTTTATCATTTATCTTTTGTTCTTATAATTTTTCATTCTTATGATCATGACTTTTATCTTTTATCTTTTGTTCCTATGTGTTCATTGTTTTAAATGTACATCTTCATTTTGTATTGCTCTTTATTGCAGGAAATAGAGAGGCAATGAGCAATAAAAGAAACAACTCTTCCTCCTGAACCTGCAACAGATGATGAGAATGTCTTAACCATTAAGGTGTACATGCCAGATGACAGTTTACACTGGTGCGAATTTCTTAGGACACACAAGTTGCAGGTAAAATGGTTGTGAAGGAAACTGTATTTAACCTAATTATCTATTTGCACTCTTAGATAAACTCGATTGTTATTCACATTGTAGTCCATTTTTGACTTCATTGATATTTGCAGAAGGGTCAAACCCGGCTCTTACATGGTGGTGAGTAAAATTTGCAACCTTTGTTGTCAGTCTGTGCAAATTGTTATGTTGTTAATCTATGTTATGTTGCTATAAAATAGGCAAGACTGTTAAAATTCAACCTCATTAATTACTATAGCTACTCACTCTTCTAGTTGTCATTTTTACCCCTCATCATGTATTGTTTTCCTTTCTTTTTACCATCAACATGTGATTGTGTCATCATTTTTTTTTTACTTTTTAAGGATATGTTTTTTTCCTCATTCTTTGATTTTGGAGGCAAAAGTTTACAAACTAGATTTTTCACTTGAACACATCTTTTTATCATTAAAAGAGATTATAGTAATGTATATCTTATACCTTTTGTACATTCAAATTTCTAATTTTGATTAAGATATGCAATTACAACGAAAGATCAATTCCTATATGTGGATACTGAGGTTTTTTTTTTTTTTAAACTTGTTGAGTAGGGGGAACTATGAGTCTAGTTACATCATCATAGTTGTGCACTGCACAGAGCATACTCATGACCAAATGACACTCATGCTTTCCTACCCTTCATGGTTGATTATAGAATTTCTATCAAAATATTTCCAAAAATATCATGCATTATTGTTGTTCCTTCTAATGCATGACCGTATTTGGTTTTTCTCGACTGAAACCCAGAAAAAAGAAAAAGAAATGCTTAACTAATCAAATCATCTTGCTTTTAAGACATTAGTAGAATTTTTTAAAAGTAGACACTTAAATGGTTATATTAAATTGAAGAATCCATATTGGTTGTATTTCTTTTTGCAAGATGTAGTTCAAACATCACTAGAAAAGGAAGTGATGAAAATTGTGATTGTAACATGCATAAGTTGAGTAGGTTAGTTCTAGTTGTATACTTGGAGTACCATAACAAAATCAGATGGTTTCCACCTTCAGCGGTACTTGACAAAGCCAATCTTCTTGGCGTTACTGTGGAAGAATGTCATGCCGTACTTTCGAATCAACCCATGAGGATTTCCACATGCTTGGCAAGTGCGGGAACGACGTCCATAGTTCTTCGGATGAGAATTCAAAATGTTCGAGTGCTGCTGTGGCTCAGGCCATCATCCTCAGTAGCTCCAACGTGGATGGTTGAGTTTCCTCCCACCAATCTAGATTCATTCAAAACAACCTCATCATAGATAATGTGTAAATTTTAAATAACAACACAAGACATTTTGGTATGAAAAAGAACATACCTCTGACAATTAACCTCATGAGAACAAAGTTAAGGAGAATTAGGAAATGATTTTGCACGAAAACAACATTCGAACATAAAATCATAAGACTCCTCGGGATCACCCAATATCTGTTCACAAAGCCAAAGATCTCCATCTTCTTTCACAAAACCTTTGTAACAAGATCACACAAGATGGAAAAAAGATAAAAAGATACGTTCAAGTGAAAAATCCAGTTGGTAAACTTTTGCCTCCAAAATATGAGCCTGAATCTGACATCACAGCTGCTGAAAAGAAGGATGTGAGGGTTGGGGTTAGGGTTTAGGAGAAAATCAGAAGAAAAAATCACAAACATTCCCCTCAGGATCTCTGCCACATGCAAACAAAGCTAAAAACTCAGAAATCAAAATCAGAAAGGAAAACACAATTAAATAAAAAAACATAGCTATTCACCTGCAAAACCAACATCAACCTCAGCCACCTAACCTTTTTTTCAAAATCATAGTCCAAACAGAAACGAAAGAAAAAATCACACACAAACTCAAAATTGTAAAAACTATCTATGACAGAAGGCTGGCTATCTGAGCCTGAATCTGACATCACAGCGGCTGAAAAGAAGGATGTGAGGGTTGAGGTTAGGGTTTAGGAGAAAATCAGAAGAAATTGGGTTTTGACTAAAAAAATCACAAACATTCCCCTTAGGATCTCTGCCACATGCAAACAAAGCTAAAAACTCAAAAATCAAAATCAGAAAGGAAATCACAAAATTAAATAATCGTTCAAAAAAGAATGCAATAATATATTCTCAATTTCAGAGCATAAATTATTCTGATATAGGTATAAATTTCAAAGCCAAAAAAAACCTAGAATGTACAGAAGAGAGAATTTACCTTCAGCAAGGGAGGTGGTTGTGGCTGCTGCCTCAAGAGTGCAATGTACTATGCGTGCCTGAAACAGAGAGGGGTGATGTGGGTTAGGCTTAGGTCGACTTCAGAGAGAGAGAGGACCACTTGAAACAGACCTACCCAATATAGAGTTTATGTCAACACAAACAATCGGTACGTCAATAAGCGAACTTAGATAATATTCAATGAACAGAAAATCAGGATAAACAGAAAATGAAAAAACTGTTTGACTCCACCAACATAAACAGAAAATCAAAAATAAATCTGCAAAGGAGAAGACATAAATCGAAGAGGACCACTTGAACAATTCCAATCGAATTTCAAATAGAAATCCTAGATAGTCTATGTCATGGCTCTACTAGAGAGCCTTGTCTACACTAAGACTTAGTAACAGAAATAGTGGCAAATGAGTGGGACATACATATGATGAGAATGCCTCTAAAACCTACAACATATGATGAGAATGCCTTAACCATTAAGGTGCACATGCTAGATGGTAGCTTACACCGATGACAATTTCTTAGGATATACACGTTGCAGGTAAAATTGTTGTAAAGGAAACTGTATTTAACCCAATTATGGTCATGAATATATATATTACCATACTTTCGATTTAACAGGTTCAAAATGAAAATCTACAAATAATTCTCTCTGGCTAGCATTATATCACAATTTTGACTTGTACATAAATTCGAATTTGAAATTGTGGTCTAGAAAATGAATGGTGGAAAAACTAATTATATAAAATGAGTAAATATCCAGCTTATTCAGCCATGCCAAAACACAAAACATATGTCAAATGCTCGAGCTACATACAACATCACAAGGAGCTTCAACGAAACACTAAAATGGTTTGAAAAAGAAAAAGAAAATTTTGATTATACACACCAAAATCTTCACGTACCCAAGGTAAAGTAATCCAATCTGAGTTGAAGTATATGCAATTAGGCTGACTTCTTGAAAATTTTGAAGCCAAAACAAACAGAAGTGTTAACACCTAAAAAAAAACCAGCATCACCTAAGGTTTCTTTCTCAATCCACTCGTGCTTATCAAAATTCATTTCCGTATATGACCATAACAATGCAATCATCTGCATTTAAAATTGGGTCCGTTGAAATTGTGGCCTTATACACATAATAATCCAATTTTTCATATCTCTGACGCCTCAATGAAGGAAGGCTAATGATTGAATTTTCTCTCTTTACATCCTTTAACCCTAGAGAATGGATTCATTAAGGTCACTGAGTAGTTCTCTTCCACAACTACTAGCCATCCTTTGGAAGACCCACTGAATCGCTTATTCTTACAATCTTAATCGTAAATCAAGAACTTTATCATTCGTGATGTCATATAACTTCCATGTACCTTTTTTATCACTAGAAATTAAGAGCATTGGACCTGCTTGGCTACGATTATTCTTTGCTACACTATTCCATGACTTACAAACGACGCTAAATGCCGAATAGTCTGTAATTCTAATCTCTCAAAAACTAGATCTAGTAAGTCCTTAGGCAAGTTTTCCCAATCTGAAAAGACAAACGAGAACAAGTCATTAAAACAGAAACAGCTGAGAGCTCTCTTACTCGAAGTTACATTTTGGTCACTCAACTCAAATATTAGTTGTAGAGGTCACTCAATTGGGTGTTGTGTTGCACCATTAGTCCCTACCGTCAAGTCTGCGACTTTTTCTGTTTAAAATGATGACGTGACAAGCATCTCTTAGATTATTGATGGGCAAATGTGACTTTTCAGTTAGGATTATCTGTAGCAATGATCCCTCAACTATACTCGAAGTTACATTTTGGTCATTCAACTCCAAAAATAGTTACAGAGGTCACTCAATTAGGTGTTGTGTTGCACCATTAGTCCCCACCGTTAGAGAGACTTGACGGTAGGGACTAATGGTGCAACACAATACCTAATTGAGTGACCTCTGCAACTAATATTTGAGTTGAGTGACCAAAATGTAACTCCGAGTATAGTTGAGGGACCATTGCTACAAATAACCCTTTATTTTAAGTTTGCAATTATTTAGTGTTTTTTTTTAGTAAGCATATATATGAGCTATAAAAAAATGGGATTTGTGTGCCCCTCTCAAATTTGGGCCCTGTGCCATCGCCCTAGGTCAGAGCCGGCTCTGCACCTACTCAATTGGTGTAGTGATCAATGTGTATGAAATTACCAATAAGCCCATGCCAAGTCTTCTGTTTTAACAAAATATTGACTGAAGTTTCAGGGTGCATTGGTGTCATTAAGCCTATTTTTAACAACCCTAATATACGGGAAATGAAATCAAACTTGGATGGAAAAGGGTACCTTGGTCACTAGCGCAATTCACATTCACATTATTAAATGATTTTTTTTCCTTCGAATACAAGTGATAGTCTAAACTACAAGGGGGTGAGGGTTTCTCATACACTACCAAGGTGTTATGGAAGTTCGAATAAGAGATCACTAATCTCTAAGTTAAGACCATTTTCTACTGTGCTAGACCTCGTTGCTATTAATAAAAGACATTTTTGATAAGCTAGGTGGGTGCTTTCACTTAATATATGAATTTAAAAGTATATGAGGAGTGTTTTTAGCAAAGAAGTACATTCAATAGATGGGGGATGACAATAAAATTCATTTTCTCTAATGGATAAAAAGGAGGTGGTTGAAAGTAGCCATAGCTTCAATTTTTCTTGTAACAAAATGATGTTAAACCACTTCTTTTAGAGTGTTTGGGGAAAAAAAAAATTACACTACTAGACAAAATACTGATAAACAATCATAACATTCGATGGTATGCGTCTATTTTTTCTTAGACTTTATTCTTCTATTAATATACTAATTTTTCACATGTACATTTACATTATGGTAAAAGACCAAATGCACATAAGTATTAATGGAGACAAAAGACATTTTCTTGTATATTTTCACTGCACTTTCACCATCCGTAGTCAATTTAAAATTAAACTAGAATGACTATTTTGCCCCGTATATTTCTTTTTGATCCATGAAGACTCCATTTTGTCCTTTTATGGAAGCAATCCTCTTTCTTTTTTTTTTTTTCTTTTTTTTTTTTTTTAATTTGGTCAAATGTATAATTAGATTAGAGTACTGCTATTTTCACCAACTTTATTTTTAAAATTTTAAAGACAAATTTATCTCTTTGTAAAATGACTTACAAGAACAAATGCCCCTCCTCCCTCTCCACGCACTCCTCCTCACTCTCTCCCTCTCCGAGCTTTCTCCCAGTCTCCTCCGACCTCTCAAGGTGTTCCCTCTCTGTATATACTTTGCATGTTTTTGAACTTTGAAGTAGAACTTTAGTTTGCACAGTGTTCTTATAGTAAAGTTAATTATGTCTAATACCTAATTTTTCTCCTTATTATATATGTAACCTTCTATCTAGCTACCACACATCACCTTTCATATTTCACCTAGGAATTTCCAGCAAAACATATGTTTCTTGCTACACAAGACAGATTTTCGGAGTCGTCGAAGCCAGCTCTTTGTGATCATTGGGTTTTGGCTATAAATTTTGATGATAGTTGCAGTTGATTTCATTTTTCTCTTTAATTATTTTTTGTTGAGTGTGAATTGTGGCAAAGTTCAAAGACTACGTCATGGGAGATCAAGAGCCCAAGAAGCAGGCTAATGAGCTTGAAGCTCCCTTTGCGCCCACAACAACGCCACCACCACCACCACCAGAAGCCCCCGGTGTCGTTGAGAATAAAGAAGGAGCTCTAAACCATGTCGCTGAAGACAAGACCGTGATCCCAATTTCTGAGGAGAAGGCATCTCCTCCTCCTCCTCCTCCTCCTCCACCACCTGCTGCAGCTGTCAAAGGTACACACACTCTATCTCCCTCTATGCTATTACTTACACAAATATTATTGATTAATGTTGCACACAATTTTCAGTTGCTATGATGCCTACCCTGTTTCAGCAATTGGATATAGCCGATGAGGTTGTCTAATGTTTAAGTTATCAGCCCTTAGCTTGAGCATGGGTGAATTTTTTATTTTTTATTTTATTTTCGAAGGTGTACGTATCATACCTTGGACACTCTTAAGCCAATACTTTTTTTTTTTTTTTTTTTTTTTTTTTCATTGCAGCCAAGGCATCAGCAGCAGTATTCATCTCACGGTATATATGCTGGACAACACAGTTCCAATCACCATGAATCTTTAGTTTGCAACAATTGATGATATTATAGAGAGGATGGTTGGCTCCAGTAGGGTTATTAATTAAGTCCACAGCAATACTGGAGTCACACTCAATCACCACATCCCGAACCCCAGCATCCCAAGCTAAAGAGAGCCCCCAGAAAATGCCCCATAATTCTGCCTCAAGGATAGAACCCACTCCCAATTTTCCAGTAAATCCCTTGAGCCAAGCACCATCAGCATCTCTTAATAAACCACCAGCACCAATCATTCCAGTAGTATTATTTCGACTTCCATCAGTGTTGACCTTGCAAGTACCAAGCAAAGGTGCTTGCCAATGAAGAAAAGTAACGGTCCGAATACAGGTGCTAGAGGAGGGTCTAGTGGCAGTAGCCCAATCCAACGCATACTGGAGAATCAAAGTATGGGGATCAAGAGGCATAATAAAATTTTGATCAAAGACTTTTTTGCATCTCCATTTCCAGACAAACCACAAGAAGGTAGCATAAACCAGCTGCCAAGGTAACCCATGATTTACCTTATTTTTAGATTGCAGATTCAACAAAAGCCAATCTTCAAAGTCCATAGAACCCATGTTGTTACCAACACCAGATCTAAGGGCATTCCAAATGTCAAGAGAGGAGGGGCAATCCTTGAAAAGGTGAGCAATAGTCTCCATTAGATAGCCACATCTCGGACACGTGGGAACCTGAGTGAGGCACCTCCTCTGCCGTTGGACGTTAGTGAGTAATTTCTTATGACAAACAGTCCATAAAAAGGTTTTCACCTTAGGGGGGAGGGGGAGCTTCCAAATGAAGTGCCATTTCCAAGCAACTGCATTCTCATCAGTGAGGAAAGTATTATAAGCAGAATTGACAGAGAATGTACCATTAGGATTGAACTGCCAAATACATTGATCAGCCCCACTACCCTGAAAACCAGCATGAACACTGAGAATCAATTGAATAATATTGTCAGGAAGACATTCCCTTAAGCTATTCAGATCCCAGACACCATCATCCAGAAAATCACTAACTTTTGAATGCAACATATCCTGTGAAAGATCATTGAGAGCATATTGATGTAGAGGCCCGCAACTAAGCCACTTATCAGTCCAAAACATCACATTATCTCCATTGCCCACACGCCATTTAAGACCCCGAGATAGCACTGGAGTCCCATAGAGAACACCCCTCCAAACATTGGAAGAGCAAGGAAATTGAGAATCCTTAGCAGTTAAAATATCATGATGTTTCAGGTACTTGGCATTGAAGACCTTAGCCCACAAGCCCTGTTCATGCTGAAGAATTCTCCATCCAGTTTTAGCCAAAAGAGCTTGGTTCATCCAGGAAGCTTTTTTAATCCCCAACCCACCACCAAGTTTAGTTTTACAAACAGTCTCCCAATTCACAAGATGAGTCTTGGCAGTGTCAGCGGTGTGGCCCCAAAGAAAATTTCTGTTGAGTTGATCTAGCCTGTCACAAACAGCAGAAGGCAACTTAGCAGTCTGCATCGTATACAGAGGAATTGCAGCAGTAACAGATTGGAGAAGGGTCATACGGCCAGCCATCGAGAGGGTGTGACTTTTCCAAGAAGCCAATCTCTTTTGTACCTTGGCAATAATCTCTTGGTAGGTGTTTTTAGTTACTCTGGTGTGAATAAGAGGAACGCCAAGGTACTTCCCAAGGTTGGTAGTGAGCGGGGAGCCACTTATGGTGGCAATGGAGGAAGCCAAGTCCGCATGGATGTTTGGGGAGACACAAATAGTGGACTTTTCAAAACTCACCCTTTGACCAGAGATATCACAGAAATCATCTAGACACTTCTTCATCAGACGAGCTTGATGAGTAGAAGCCTCCCCAAATAGGATTAGATCATCAGCAAAGAAAAGGTGTGAGATAGTAGGTCCTCCTTGGCAAATCTGCACAGGTTTCCAGGTTTTGTCTTGGAGTTTTTGCTGGATGATATGAGAAAGTTTTTCCATACACAGCACAAAAATGTAAGGGGATAAGGGATCCCCTTGTCTAATTCCACACTGAGGGTTGAAAGGATCAGTTAGCTCCCCATTGAGGATAGCTTTGTACTGAACAGTGGAGATACATTGCATTATCAACTCCAGGGTTCTTCCTCTGATTCCGATTTCCCATAGGACCTCCCTAATAAAAGGCCAACGAAGGCGATCATAAGCTTTAGAAAGATCAATTTTCCAAGCTATAAAACCTTTTTTGCCTTTGGTAATTTTGAATTTGTGAAGCACCTCGTGGGCAATAATAATATTATCTGTTATTTGCCTCCCAGGAACAAAACTCACCTGGTTCGGGCTGACCAACTTAGCCATGTGGGGACGGAGGCGAGCCACAATAATTTTGGAGACCACTTTGTAGAGGGTATTGCAAAGACTAATAGGCCTAAGTTGAGTCATGGAAGCAGGTCTTTCAACTTTAGGCACCAAGGCAATAAAAGTCTCATTGAGATGGTCTGGAAGGGTGGCTGTTTGGAAGCAGTTCTTAACAGAAGCAGTGATATCGGGGGAGCAGACCTCCCAAAAATTCTGGTAAAAAAGAGCAGGGAAGGCATCAGGACCTGGAGACTTTAGGCCACCAATGGAAAAAAGGCTGTTCTTAATGTCCTCATCAGAGATAGGACAACTTAACCAATCAAGGTCCGCCTCATCGAGATGAGGAAATAACTGAGGAAGAGAGTTGTAATCAGCAACAGAACCCGAGGCATCGAACAGACCTTGGAAATAGTTTACAATTATTTGTTTCATGGCATGTTTTTCAGTAATCCAAATACCTTGGTCGTTGTTTAAGCCTTCCAATTTATTTCTCCTTCTTCTGATGACTGTAGATAGATGGAAAAAATGAGTATTCCTATCACCTTCTTTGAGCCAAGTATTTCTGGATTTTTGAAGCCAAAATTCCTGATCAAGAATGAGATTATAATCATTTGTTAATTCAATTTCTAGATTGTGGAGAAAAGGATTATGGCACACACACAGCTTCTTTTGGATACCTGCAAGTCTGGCAAGAATAGTCTTTTTCCGTTGGAACAAACAACCAAAAATCTGTCTATTCCAGGAGATAAGAGAAGACACAAGAGAAGTAGTTTTTTCCATAGCAGAGCCATTTCCAGAATTCCACTTATCAGTAATAAAATCATTAAAATCTGGATGGGACATCCACATAGCTTGAAAACGAAAAGGGACATTATCACTATCAGGGCGGTGATTAGAAGCAAGTTTTACCATAATAGGGCAGTGATCCGAATTGACTCTAGGAAGATGAGACAGCTGAGCATCAGGAAACAACATGCGCCAATCAATATTACACAGCCCCCTATCAAGCCTTTTCCAGATAATACCCTCCGCATTCCTTTTATTACACCAAGTGTACTTAGCACCAGAGAAACCTAAGTCGACAAGGTGATTACGCTCAATCCAGTCGATAAAGCACTTACCACCATGGTTTGTGTTTCCACCGCATTTTTCAGTCGCATTTACAGTGTCATTGAAATCACCAATCACAAGCCAAGGAAGAGAGGAAGCAAGAGCAAGGCCATCAAAGTACTTCCACAGAGCTTCTCTAACCCCAGGACAGGGATTAGCATACACCACTGTGAGGAGCCACTTATGGTTACTTGACTGGATAAGGGCAGTAATGGATTGGCTTGAGTGAGCAACAACTTGAAGAGAGACAGAGTTATCATTCCATAGCAACCAGACACCACCAGAGAACCCAATAGCATCAATAATATGGTAATGGGAAAAACCCGGACTTTGCGCAACTCTGAGAGCCCTAGGACCACTAATTCTAGGCTCAAGAATAGCAAAAACATCAATGTCGTAGGCTTTTTTCAAGTCCATAATAGTACTAGCACATTTATCTTTACCAGCACCCCTGACATTCCAAGCAGCAATAATCATTAAAAATTTGATGATGGAGAAGATAACTTAGGGAAACCCTAATTCTGCAAATTTCCAGCCTCAATGGCTGTATGCTTCTCATGAGTAATAGACATACCAGTGTCCAAGCCAACTTCAGACTCATTGTGTGTCGTTCCGTCACCCTGTTGATCCAAATCCACATTTGCGTTACTCATATCCGAAGTGAGACTAATCTCAGGGGGAGTATGTCCACATAAGCCATCCTCACACAACGCTGTAGTGGTAGAGAAGGGACCACCCACATTGAAGGAAAATATCCCCTGTACATCATTTTGAACATCAGCACCACTTGTTTGTAGTCCCACAGCTTCAACCACAGTAGGATTAACGGTTTTAGTCCCAAGTTTGCTTTTCCAAGGCCTCCGAATTTCAGGGCCAGTCTTATTCAAACCTCCTCCAGTTCCAGGGATGGCAACGTTAGTTATGTCTTTCAAGGCCCTTTTGAAAACCCAGGGGGAGGAGTTCTGGGTTTTCTTCCCAGCAGTTTTGGCCTTGGCTTTGCTGTTATCTGGAAGAAGAGCCACTTCCTTACCATTTCTTTTTGCAGGGGTCACAATCACCATCTCCTCTTCATTATTGTTTTCCTCATTCAGAACATTAAACCGAGAGCCATTGGGATTATTAACTTTTTTAGGACTGGACTCCTTTGAGTTTCTCAAGCTAATCTCAGCAGTCTTCTCTGAAGTGTTCAGGCTTTTCTTCTTAGTATTTCTTGGCTTACACAGCATCCATTCCCCATGCATCTTGGGTGGCTTCTCAATGACTTTATCCTCACATATATCCATGTTTACCTCATTCACCTTGTCAGAGGTATTGGCCTCCACATTCTCAGTATTAGTTGATTCTGCAACTTTTTGTTTTGCTTGTGGGATAACAGGACAATTGTCTCTGCCATGGCCATAACACCCACATTCAAAACAGACCAAGTTGATTCCCTCATAAACAACTCCAAAGGTGCATCCTTCAACCTCAATGAAGGGGGTAAGGGGTTTAGCTAAATCGAGCTCAACACAGATTCTGGCGAACTTACCACGAGCCTGACTCATGGTATGGGAATCTACCTTAACAGTAGTCCCACTAAGGCTTC